GGGCCTTTCTTTTCTTTTTTCCCTCTTTTTTTTTTTTTTTTGTTTTGAGGTTTCTGCCACAGGGCAAGTGCACTTGCTGGAGACACAGAGAGAGACAGAGCTTAGGACGGTGAGAAATCGACTCCAGAAGGGATGGCCACGCCTCGGTCCCTCTCCTCCATTCTCCTCTTGGGATTTTGGGCACACGGACCCCTATGCCCAGTGTGAGTATCAAGCTGTGGGATCCGGGACTCAAACCGCAGTCGGCCATGTGGGAGTCCAGCACTTTAACCACCACACAACCTGTTGGCCCCCATACCTACCTTTTCCAGGAGGGCGTTCTGCCAGAGCCGGAACATCATCATATACGTCCTGTCCCGGGCCCCGAACGAGGTGAAAAAGTGCTGGATCGGGAGACAAGGTGAGCGTTAAGGAGCAGCTGTTAGGAGGAACCTGGTGAGCAGGACGCGGACCTCCTTCCTCTGGCACAGACGCTGACATCACCCTCGGTCACCGCTGACCGTGGGCTAGTCACCGTGGCGATGGCGGCCAGTGCGCTGGGACCTCTAAGTCCCCAATGCAACCAAGCCCTCCCGCTTCACCCACACTGTCCTCAGGGCTCTTCTCTCTACTTTGACATTTTCGTCGCCATAAAAAACCTTCTTCACCTACTTCTGGGAACTGGCCAGCGAGGAGCTCTGAACTGGCCTACTCGAAGGGCGAGGCAGCACACTGACCCGCCGGCCTTCGGCAACTGTTCAGCAAGTGTCTGAAAATGAGTGTGCCAGGCCTGCCCTGCACGCCGGGGTGTAACCAGACCTCTATGGAGCTCGCCCCCGAGAGGGGACCCTTTAGCACCCGCTGGGAGAAAGCGATGGCGCGCTCTTGAGCACCCCCGAGTGCTTCACGAATGCCCGTTCGCTTAAACCACACCAAAAGCCTTCGGCAGGCAACAGCTGCTGACGACCGCGAGTGAGGCTTCCGGTGCGAGCACAAAGCTGCCTAGTGCCAGGGGCAGGACTCAGACCGGAGCCTCTGGGCCAAGTCTCGGGGTCTCCCTACTGCCCTGTGCAAGTCCAAGAGAGCTGCGGCCCGGGTCTGAGCAGGGACCGTTGACCCCATGACCCCCGCCTCGAATCGATTTGTCTTCCGGCCTTGTTGCCCTAAATGTCATCGACCAGGCTCTCTCACCACCTCCTATGGGCCGCCTCACCTTCCTCGGCTGCCCTCGCCCACACGGACACACAATGACGACTTCTCACGCTCGCCCGCACGTGACCACCGGTTCTTTTCCAGCAGGTGCTGGTGTGTGGGGACTCTGTTACGTGGGCGTGGCTGGTTCCGCTTACACCCGGACGCAGGCTCAGACAGGCTGTGTATGCTGCCCGCGGTCACGGACCTCAGAGTCGGCGTTCTGCTCTCACTCTGCTCAGCCTCCCACCACCCTGAGCTCGCAGGAGGGGTCCCCAGGAGTGCTGGCGCCCCACCAGCTCTCACCCTCATCCTACCGCTCTCACATGAACGCAGCATAAGGGCAGAAATGCAGCCATGAGGGGGAGGGTGGGGAGCAGACGCCAGAACTGGACCCCCTTACCTTTTCTGAATCAGTGCAAACCTGGATGGCATTGGGGATGAGGCGAGCCGTCTTCTCCTTAGTCATGGAGCAGATGTCTTTCAAACGGACCGTCAGCTGGTGACAGCACGGGGACCGAGGGTGGATGATGAGCCAGAGAACGAAAGAGAGCATGGAGTCAGGCAGAGTGCTCACGGGCCCGGGACAGACGGACATCAGGACACCGCTCACACAGCCCTAGCTCTCAAGGGCCCGTTTTAGGGATCGCCTAGTTCCCCGCTTGACTTCAGAAGCCACGGAGCAAGCGAGGTGGGGACTGAGCCTGGAGCACAGCCTGGGCACCGAGGGCTCTTGGCCCAGAATGCTTTCTTCTCACGTCTACAGGCGACGCCCGTGTAGGGGTCCTGCCGTCATCTGCTATTGGGTTGCCCAAGAAGTGTGACTTTCATAAACACAGGACACTGGCACCGAGTGGGACCAAAGTCATCTACTGACCGTGCATCGTTCTCCATGTGATTAGAAACGATGGGGAAACAGAGGCAAAGGAAGGACTGGCCTGAAATCACACAGCCGGTGAGCGGCAGTGCCCGGGGGTGTGACGCGGCTCCTCAGGCACCGGCGCCATGCCCTCCCTGCTGCCACTCATGCCGGTCCTGGCCTGCAGCCCCTGACATCTAATGTGGTTAGCGCCCTCCTCCAGGGAGCCAGGGAGATGTGCGTGCGGAGTGGCGCCGCCATCGGGACTCCGCAGGGGGTGTTAGTGAACAGGCTGGGAAGAGCGCGAAGCCCGTGGAAGGAGGGAGGTGGAGAGCTCGCTCAGCCCGGGCCGGGGCTCACCAGGGTTTCCCAGCGGAAGATGTTGCTGTAGAAGCAGATCCAGTTTTCTGAGAGGTAGAGCCGGCCCTGAAGAAGGATGTCTCTTTGGAGTGCACATGAGTAATCTGTGGGGGGACAGGCACTGAGAGAGGGTGGTGTCCTGGGCAGGCCACGGCCCACCGGGTGTGTGGGAGCCCGGCCACCTGTCCCTGACCAGGCCGCCTGTGCACGGCCCGTGAATGAGTGCACGAGGCAGTCCGGCACCTCACAGTCAGGAGACATAGGAGGTGTATACGCCACCGCTTACTGCAGAGGGACAGAGACAGCACGGCCGGCCGGGGAAAGTGCTAACATCGACCACCTTCCCGCCCCATCCGGCAGGCCAACCCCCTCCAGTGCTTGGCCACTCGCAGGTGACAGTCCAGGCTAGGCTCCCGAGGCCACCACAAATGCAGGTGCCCAGCCTGAGCCCCGACGGCCAGGGCCAGGGTTTAGGATATCCCTTCTCTCCTTATTGCTGGATGGGTGCCCACTAGGGCGGGTTAACAGGGTCTGGACAGAAGCCCTTGAGAATGTACCTGGCACCCTCACACCCTCCCTGCCCCCGGCCGCTCACCGACAATGAGGCGCTCCGTGTCTGGAAGCTGCTTGAAGAGCTTTCTGAAGTCTTCGTTCCTCTGTTTGTACGTGGGGCTCAGGACCTGCAGGGCAAGGGCGGAGTCAGCAGAGGGCCCAGGCTCTGCGGGCTGGGCAGAGGGTGCAGGAGGCTCCCTTAGTGTATTTTTTTGAGAGAGATTTTTGCTAAAGGGTACATGTGTTCAGAGAGACAGAGACAGAAAATGAGAAATCACCCCCACACACACCCGGGAGATGGCCACACTGCAATCCCTTCCCCATTCTTCTCTTGGGATTTTGGGCATGCACACACGCGCCCAGCGTGAGTTGCCAGCCACAGGGTCTGGGGCTCACGTGGGAGTCCAGTGACACCGTCATTTTACGCCATCTGTTGGTCCCTCACTTGCTAGACTCTCATCGCGCGGCACCTACGAGGCCAGGTTAGGGGAGGGCACTTGGCACGGGAGAGCAGTGAAGAGGGTCAGATGCTGTGGGATGCTCTGCACTCACGAGGCCACCGATGAGAGAACACCAAACGTACCTGACGTCCCAAGAGGAAAAAAAAGGGGGGGATCCCTCCAGGGGGCCTCATGGGGCCTTCTGGGCAGAAGTGCTGCTCTGCTGCTGCCAGCACCATTGTGACAGCACGGCAGGGCCTGGGGAGGGGGCCACAGCCCCCGGCAGGAGGGCCGGGGACACAGTGGTGCCGGTGCACCTCTCGGGTAAGATGCCATTATGATCAACACAGCAGGCACTGGCCGTGTGCAAATGGTGCAGTTTTTCAAAAACTCATAAACAGGGACCAGCAGTTGGCATAATGGCTATGTCGCTGGGTCTCATGTAGTCAACCGCGGTTCGAGTCCCAGACCCAGTGGCTTAAACTCACGCTGGGCACATGTGCGTGCGTGCCCAAGATCCGGAGAGGAGAATGAAGAAGGGATTGCGGCATGGCCATCCCCCCCGGGGAGGGGGATGATTTCTTGCTTTCTCTCCTTGTCTCTCTGTCTCTGTCTTTCGGGCAAGTGCAAGCGCCCTATAGCAAAAACCTCTAAAAAAACCCAAAAACCAAAAAATCCCCCCCCACACACAGCTTTCTGACTGTAAGACATAAAGCCAGGGCTAGGTGACACACGTGGGAAGAGAATTTACAGGGCACCTGTCACATGAGGAGGCGGCCACTGCCCCGAATCCTGAGATCTTCTCGGGGCCAGAGGTGGGCCTGAGGGTGCGGCCACAGGGAAAGTTCCAGGTTTGTATCAGAAACCTCCTGGGACCTCCCCGTATGACCGGCTGGCTGAGCTGGGAATAGATCACTGTTCTGGGGCCCTGGTGGGGTGCTTGTCTCTCTGTCTCTCTTCTCTCTCTGCTTTCCTCACTCAGAGAAAAAAGAAAGAAGTGTAAATCTATATTATCTCACTCCACAGTTCTGATGAGGAACCCAAGACCAGAGAGAAGCTCCCCGCCCTCGGCCCCCAGCCAGTCAGAGGCTGATCTTTTTTTTTGAGAGATTTTTGTTATAGGGTGCATGTACTCACCAGAGAGAGAGACAGGGAGACAGAAAATAAAAAGTCACTCCCCCCCGGGGGGATGGCCATGCCACAGTCCCTTCTCCGAGCTTCTCTCTACTTTGGGCACACACGCACATGCACCTGGCGTGAGCTCCAAGCCACCAGGTCTGGGACTTGAACGGTCAGCCACATGGGAGTCTAGAACCTTAACCACCATGCCACCTACTGGCCCCCAGGCGCAGGTCTCGTGATCTCCAGTCCTGTGCCCACCTCGCATTGCCTGCCCCCCGCCCCCCCCAGGTGCTTCCTTGCAGGCTCAACCCACTGACTGCTTAGTTGGCCTTCCTTGGGAATCCCAGGAGCAGCTGGACAGGAATCCTGCTCTTTCAAGGTGTACTATCTTTTCTTATTATTATTATTACTATTTGTCAGAGGGCGTGAGTGCTCACCGGAGAGAGAGAGAGAGAGAGAGAGAGAGAGAGAGAGAGAGAAAACGATAAAGCACCTCCCGCCTCCCATGGGGCATGGTCACACTGCAATCCCTGCTCGGTTTCTCCTTCCTTACGGGGTCCTGGGTACACACGCACACGGGCCCTGCATGTTTTCTAAGACGCCATGTCCAGGATTGGACCTATGCAGGTGGCCATGTGAGATCCAGCTGTTTTAACCACCACACCACCAGCTGGCCAGAGAGTTTATTATCTTAAAATTAAAAAAATAAAAGTAAAACAAGACAGGTGCATGGAATTGAAGGCACCCAGGGATGACACTCCAGACAAGTACATGAGCCTGGAGGAGGCACATGTAGCGACGTCTGTACTCGCCCAGTTGGGGCCTTGACCTGCTATGGAGACAGCACGGCTGCCCTCGGCCTGGAGCAGATGGACTGTCCTGCAGATGGTGACACATGGTCCTGCCACCTACACTTTCCTACCCGCTTCCCTGAGAACCACTGGCCCAGCTGTGGAGATGCGAGGAGGAGGCTCAAACATCCCACTGCTGGACTCTAAGTGACACGGCCCGGGGACGCGGAGGCAGTGACCTGGCCTTGCTCACAGCACGCACTGCCACGCCGCACTGTGGCCCAGTGGTCTCTGGGTTATGGGGGAAGGCAGTCTGGGGAAGGCTGGGGGTAGGAAAGGGCACGACCGTAGTTTACAGAGGTTTCCGAGGCAGGAGAGGAGAGTGTTTTCCAGCTTTGTCCGCGGGTACTTTGAATGCTGTGGCTTGTCTATAAAACGAGTTTCTGTGTCTCCAGTAACTGCCCTGCTGCTGTCCCAGAAGCAGCACTCTGTGGTCACAGATCCGAAAAATCAGAAATGGCCAGCTTACGTCTGAGCCAAGTGCCAGGCCCCAGGAGAGGCGTCTGGTAGCCAGCTCGTCGTGAGTTCTAGGCCAGAGAAGACCTCGGAATACGAGAGTCCCGGGCCGAGACACCTGGTCTAGGTGGCCCCGTTGATCAGAGTCCACACACTGACCACCGGCCATTCCCCTCGATGTCCAGCTGACCGTCTAGAGCTGCCATCAGCCAGTGTGACCACATGCCAAGCACAGGTGCCTGCCCCGATGCCCCATGGCATCTGACCCAGAGTGGTTACTACCCCATTAGACATGCAGGGAGACTGAGGCGCAGAGGTCACACAGCTCGCCCTGGGGACAGTTCCTAAACAGGACAGTGGAAATAAACCGCGGCAGCCTGGTCCGAGCTCCATGTGAGCCACCACTCTGCATGGCCCCAGGAAACTGGCTGTTCCCGGTCCTCGTGCCTGGACCGCACTCCGGGGTGAGCGGCCCAGCTGCGGGCAGTCCACAGGCCTAGTGCCCCTCGGGGTTCCGCATTCACAGAGTGTGGTGTCAGCTGGAGCAGCAGCGGCCAGCTGAGCCTGCCGCCCCCTTCGGGTGACACTGGACATCAGGCTTCCAACCGCCCGAAGCCCAAAGGCTTCCTACTTTTCATTTTCTTTCCTTCTCAGCTTCCCTCGTGTCCAGGGAAAACTCAGACAGCTGCAAAGCAGGGGTGCAGAGCGTCAGGAGGGGAGCTCTCCTCTCCTCTCCTCTGCCTGGGCATGGCCGCAGTGGGGGCGAGAGAGGCCACCAGCCTGTCTCTCCAAGCAGCCAGGTCCACAGACGCCATAGCCCTGGCTCGCAAACCAAGGCCCTGTTCTACCTGGGTGTAAGGAGGACAGGAGGCCAGCCTCTCCCTCTGGGTCTGAGGCCGGGGCCACGCTGGGTGGGTATGCCAGTCGCCACTCCACGCCCCTCCACGCCAGCCATCTCGGGCCTCTCCACACACCCCACGCTGTTAGCCATCGCCTCCGGAGGTTATGGAACGGCTCACCTATCCTAATTTACAATGGCCAAAGGGTTTGGATTCAAACCTGGGACCCTGGGGCGGTAGAGTCAAGTCGGCACAACGAGGGTGCTGGGGACGGTCACAGACACAGAGACGGGTCACACACTCACGGCTGGGACGTCGGATCCACGCCGGCTGCAGAGCTCGGCAGCGGCAGGCAGGTCCGGACACCTGCTTGGGTCTCCAGGCCGTGGCTGGTCCTCCTGCTCCAGCAGCAGGCCCCAGAGCATCCCGCACTCCGCCAAGGACTCCATTGCCCCACACTCCCCACCAGGGGAACCCGACTTCTTCAGCTCTGCCTCCCGACTGTCACCACGGCTGAGAACAATTGGTGACGCCTGGACTGCACACGACGGCCCCTTCTCGGCAGAGGGTCTGTGTGACCCTGACTGAGGTCCTTCCACTGCTGTGTCTCCAGCTTCCCAAGGAAGGGGAGTGATCAGAGCAGTTCTTGGGACAAGCTGGCCGGCCCGGCTCTCATGATGGGCTCTGCTCTCTTCCCGGCCAGTCTCCAGTCTCCGGTTTGAGGGTAGCCCTGAGGGGTGTGGTCAAGCACCTCCTCCTGACCAGGGCGGCCACCCCAGGAGTTTAGCTGAGCCAGTGGGCACAGGTGGCGTGGCAGGTGCACAGGGCTGGCTGAGGGCTCCACAGGGCGGGCCCCGGTGGCCAGGCTAACTCCACGGGAAGAGGGTAACCGCAGCCGGGTCCAGAGGTCTGTGCCGCCGGTTACTCACCGGGGCAGCCTGACTCACAGCTGGTCTGAAGCTCCAGACGATCGATCAAGTTCTCCGCTCCCCAGCCCCAGCTGTCCCAGAGAGTGGCTCATTCAATGTCCCCTGCACGGGGCTCGGTGACTCACAGCTCTCTCCCACGCAGGGTGGCCACCATGGGCTGGGGGCCGTGGGGTCTGCTCGTCCCCCAAGCCCCACACACACCCCTTCCCTCCATACCGCACTCCTCTCACTGACCAGCAAACAACTTCTTTGTTAGAGTCACCCGTGGCAGGAGGGAGGGAGGCAGGGCGGTGGGCGGGCGGGCCGGAGCGCTACACATGCTTCGAGTTACAGGATCTGGGTGATGGTCCTGGCCAACGTCCTCCAGTAACCCCTGGCCCAGCCCGGCCTCCCGGCAGATGTTTCCTGCAATGGAAAGTTGCTGGCCAGGGCTCCGGTGGGGAGGGGGAGGGGCGGTGCCAGGGGCACGGCTGTTATGATGAAATCTGAAA